TAAATCCAGGAAACAAAACAAAACAAAAACAAAAACCAGCCCACCACAAGCAATCCTTATGTGCTCCTTTTCAAGATCTATATAGCATGTCTTGTTTCATGCCAGGATAGAGGTGGTACGTTTCACTCTCATTTGCTTTGGCACCCTATCTCCCCAGCTCATGTGTGCACGCACGCACAAACCCCTGGGAGCAGCCGGTTCATTTTGGCAATTCAGCACTATGTGGGTTGGTTTCTATAACCCTGAGCCTGCCAACTATAGGACTAGTGAAAAATTGATTCCTTTGATCACAATAGGTGCATTTGCATGAATGAATTTTTGATTGTAGCAACAACTTAGGTCGGGATTCACGAAGCAGAGTAAAGTAATGGATTAGTCACCACAGCTTCAATTAATGGTTTTGGTTCCCAGTGGCAAATCGATGTCCATCAACTTTGACTTCCTTGTCAAAAGCAGGCAGGCAACAACTCCATCTATAGCACTTAATTTACAGACCTTGTAAAATCTTGGAAGCAAGAATTGACAGAAACATCTGAATTTACCTCAGGAAAACATATAAACTATACTCTGCTCTTCTGCTCCATCTTGAAAACCTTTGGCTAGAGGGATAGAATAATTCAGTAGTGCTGAGTGTAGAAATAAGGTCTAGGCAGTCATTATCTTAAATCATGTTTATGAGCTCTAAAATAAATAAATCAGCTTCTTAATTGATTTGGACCAATGTCTAGCAAGCAATTTTAGCTCAGTAAAATAAGGATAAACAAATCCTAAAAGAGTTCAAATTTAAGAAGTTAGGGGCTGGGGCATGCCCTGCATATGCAATCTGCAGTGATTGTCAGCTGTTTTAAAGAGCTTCTCAAGTAAAAATCACCAGAGAACAAAAAACAGCACAAACCCACACACCACATCACCACATTTAATTTTTGCATCAAGAAGAACGAATACAACAGAGGCTGGAGCACACTTTAGAGGAAAGAAAAACATTAAGCTCTAGATATTGTGTCATATAATGCAACTTGTTCAATGTTAGAAGTACCTGGAGTGAGTCGCCGCAGCACAGCATACAGCTAATTTGTGTATTGGAACAGAGCGGTCCATGAACCAGAAAATTATGAAGGACTTGTTTCTCTTTGGCAGTTGCTTAACTTAACTGGAAAAACATCCAAAGACCTAACATAAATTTTGTGGAAAGCAAGAGGAGCAGAGCTCAATACTACTACAGCAGTCAGGAATGCACTGAAGGGCAGGCTCAGAATTTGAGAGCTCCCCAAATGGAACCGCACAGCAAGCTGCACAGCTTCTAGTGGTGCCTGTTTCCAAACCCATTTGCAATATATTCAGCACAAACAACTTCTTACACCAACACCACAGAACATCTCAGCTTTCTGACATGCTCATTTGACACAAGCATCTCCTCTCTGACTGATGCAAGCAGCCCAGCAACTTCCTGCTTAAGCAAAACTAACCCAGTGTCCTGCTGAGTTTTTCCTATTAATTACAAAAGACACAGACATGAAAAGGACACAGAGTTACCCTATAGACAAGCTAAGGCATAAATAGGAACTGTGGAAACAAAGTCACCTTCTTTTTAAACCAAGAAATGTAAAACTCATTATAGGATGAAAAAACACAATAAATATTCTTTATCCAAACATAACTACAAATTACACTACTAAGAACTCCTGAAATAAATCTGAACCATCAGTCCCCTCTGGTTCAAAGGTAAAACAACAGCAAAACTTGAAAAGGACTGCCTCAAATCCATGAACTTCAGTTTTAAGGAATTAAAATATCAATAGCATCAAGGTCTTGAAACGAGTGAATATAAACTTGGAGCAGCAATTCTGCAAGAATGAAAACTGAAATGCAATGACTGTAAAGGAGAGTTTGTTGTTTGTTTTTATTTCTTTGCTTTTTTTTAAAGGTCTGATAGAAACCTTCTAGCCCTAGTCATTTAGATCCCATTTTCATAAGTGTAATGTCAGCAGAGTTGCTCTGATAGAAAATATGTCATTCTTGTCACACCATTTCTATTAGTATGAAATCCCTATTGAACTCAATATTGAACTCAGCCTAACAAAGAAATATAGGGGAAAAAAAATAAAAAAATAATTAAAAAAAAAAAAAAAATCAAGCTTCTCAGAGCATCCCTGTAGCCAAAAGTGTCCTTTTCTTAGGATTATTTTTGTCTCATTCCATGCACCTCTGGTTAGCAGCAAGAATGTACCAACTTTGTTATTCCATTTTTTTCTATTTCAACCTTAAAAAATCTCTCAGATCCTTCCCACAAACAACCTTTCTTCCTTTTCCCAGAACAACAGTGGAAAGACATGCCTTAGGCAGTTGTCACTTCCAGGTTGAAAGTTTACCAGTAGAGAAATAGAAGTGCTCAAGCTGGCAACAGTGAGTATTATCTACTATTTTATACATACACACACACATACATATGTATACATACAAATACTCACAAAAATGCACTTCTGCAGCTTTTTGCATAGGAGAAAATGCAAGTCTGAGATCAAAGTGAATCCTGCCTAGCTGGACCTTAGTTCAAGAACAAGCCTTGGAGATACATGCAACCATCACAGACAGCAGACACCCATATCAGGATGCAAGTCCACCAAAATAAAGCACACAATGTATGTGTAGGGTGCTCTCACTCCAAAGTGATTTTTTTTCTTAAATAAATATTTCCAAAGGTTCATATATGGTAAGGTATACTGGCTGACCCAACAATGGGAATTAAAAAAGATCTTTCATTGCTTAGTCCTTCCTTTAGATACATAACAGCATGGTTAAAGTCCACAATACAAAAAAGACAAAACCCTGTTCTGCTTTGGGTTTTGTCTTCCTTAAACTAGGCAACACCATCTTGCTCTAGTGACCAAGGAGGCCACCTGATCACTTGCTCTATGCAGTAACAGACAGGAAGCAGCCCAGTGAATATAGCCCTGTATAATGACGTTTGCAGATCTTTTTAAAATCCATACTATATTTCTTAACTAATGGATGTCAAGCATGATGAACAGCAGCTATGCAAGTGCCTGGCTGGTGTTTTATCATGACTTTTCTTCCTGCTATTTACACCTGTTTCCTTTCTGCTGTTTTAAGCCCATTAGTGTTTATTGTGTCCACACTGTGCATTGCAAATAATCTCATTTTACCAGTTCCTCTTAGACATGCCCCGGGCTATTGTCACACTGTGCACTCACTCTTCTTCTGAGCTGTACTAATTCTCTTCTCTTGATAATACAGTGTGACCCATAATTCATTGCTTAGGCAGATTTCATTATTCTGTACCTTTTCAATCAAACTCTGCTCTTACAGAAGCTCATTTCAAGCCTCTTTAACAGCTCTCTACTCCAAACATTCCACTGTTAACTATAAAGGCATAATACATCAGCTCTGATAAAAAACCTTACTTGTGTTAGAAAAGCTCACACAGTACAGACAGGATTCTTGCAGCTCATGGTTGGTCTTATTTTATTTCTCTGTTATAAGCAATCACTTTCAGCTAGTGAAAACAATCAGCTTCTCAACAGTTGAGAAAGAATGCTAAGAAACTAATGCACTACAAGACAGCATTGTGAGTTTGTGCCCAAGTTCACAAACTCCACATGACTGTTACAAAGCCAGACTTAGGGCTGCAGCCTCTGTTGCAAGTACTTTGGGAGCAAACAGGAAAAAGGGGAGGAACTTCCAGGACAAACATCTTTTGTTGAATGAATATATACAACAAAAACAACACTCCAAAAAACAAAACAGAAAAAAAAAGGAGCCACACTGACAGATTGGAACATCTGTGTTAGATGATATATGAAGTTGTACTACCTCTTGAGTGTGACTACATCCCTACACCATAATCAGAAAGCATTTTATCACCAGCACTGATGTTATTAATAAATCAAATAAAAATCAGACCAATTATCTATAGTCTCTTTTTATGTTAAAAAAATAATTTTTTCATTTAAAATAAAGTCTATTTTCCATACTGATTTGAGGCTTGATGTTTTTGTTAGTTTCCATTGTTCGTTTTTTTTAATTGTTCTGTCCTACAGTAGGAGGGAAGAAGCTGAAAGGGCCACAGCAATTCCCCCTGCTTTGTTAGGAGAGAGAGAGAGCTCTGCTACTGCACCTCAGTAGAATTTCCTGAAATATCCAGCATGCTTTTCACTGTGTGATCTTACTACAGCCTTTGGAAGAATTCGGTTGAAATACTTCAATTTTGTATCACAGTAATCAAAATTCAGTAAAAATGAGGCCACAGTCCACAGTAAAAACCACGGAGATGGTCTGAAGGTCTTGATAAAGCATCTGCTCCACTCCTTGTGCTACCACAAAAAGTCAAGAACATCCACAGGAACCTTTAACAGATGTTTCCCTTACACCCTTTTAAGAAAATCTCTAAGGATAGCACACGTTATTATATGTGCTGCTTATACAGCTCCACTACTTTCTCAGAAGAAAGTTTCTTAATACCTGTGTTGTATCTTCTTTCCTACAATTAAAGCTGATCATTCTTGTTCTACCCATAAAGAATACAGGACAAAAAAAAAAATAAAATTCTTTAAAGCATCTTTTACAGACTACATAGTTGCTATTGTGGTCTCCTTTTGTCTTCTTTTTCTTTTTTCTTAGGGTAAATTAATTTTTTCAAGCTTCCCTCAAAGTTTAGATTTGCCGAACTCCTCATTTCCACTTTTTTTGCCTTTTTTTTTTTTGCTTTTTAATTTCTGTCACTACTTCGTGTCTGTTTTAACAGGTGAAGCTCGAGACTGCAAGCTGATATTCTAGATGAAGGATCCAAATCCAAAGACAGAAAAATATCTTCCTTCGTGTTGAATAATCTCCCAAATTAAAATTGCTTTTTTTTTTCTAGCAGCACTGCACTGTTGGCACACATTCTGTACATTTGCTTTACAACACAATATAGCCACCAGATCTGTTTTTGCTGACCAACTATCATGCCAAATATCTGACATTTCTTTCTTTGCACTTACCCACATTGGTTATATGATCCTAATTCTTCACCTTAAGATCAATTCAAATTCAGATTTTATCCTCCAAGGTGCTCGTTAAAGATCCTTCTGTTCACAGCTTATTGGGGCTCCTTTGCATTTCTAAGTCAGTTCTCAACTCCATCGCCAAGTCAGTGATGCAGCAACCATAACAGCAGGGCAACACTCAGAAGATCCTGGCAAGCAAAGATAAATCCTTGAGATTCTCAGCAACACAGGAGCAATGCTACAAAAATTTTCTATGCTTTTCAGCCCCTTAGATTAAAAAAAAAAACAAAAAAACACAACCCTTAAGTTTTCCTGCAGAACAACAAAGCAGGTTTTCTAGTTTTATCAGAGGAACTCACTTTACCCAGTTGCTGTTTCTTGATTAAATAGTGGAACAGCCTCACACTGGCATGAGTTAGAGAAAGTCTACTTACCTGCAGTGGATGCCTCCCGAAAGTCAGCACAGTTCCTGCTCACCTTAAAAGTTGTCTATTCCTCCCACCCAAAATACAAGAAGATTATATTTTATCAGAAAAGATCTCTTCATTCTATGAAACTCAGTAATCTGGTGGTGCTTTTTAAGCTAAGTTTGTAGTCACTCAGAAGAACTGCTTCAACAACAACAAAGCAACCTTCTCTTAAACATATTGATTTCAACAGGAACAACACATACAAAAGCAAAGATTGGTTTACAGCACAGATCTCTTCCAAATCATTTCATTAGTATAGTGTGAACTTAAATAAAAATCCAAATATCACAAAATTAAAAAAATCATGGTCTGTTTATCACCTGATTCTGCTTTACCTCAGAATTACAGCTGGCTTCCCTGTAGTGAAGGATACCACTCTCTGAAATTCCAAAGCATCTTTAAAGCTAAAAAGTCCAGAAAGCACAGGACTGACAGCCTTGGAGGTTGGGCTCTGTTTATCAGCTGGAAGACAACACTGAAAGCAGATAGCTAATTTGTTTTCCATCAGAGTTTACTCTGATTTCCAACTTTTCTAGCAGCTTCCTGATCATTCTTGTGCCTTTGTGTGAAGGTAGTCCAGGAGGACAACAACACTTTCTGCTTTCAGCTGACTTTCAGAAAGTGGTACATTTCTCTCCTTTCCGTAACTCACAGATGGTGTTGGAGATGACCAGCTCCATCATCCCTTCTTCCTTCCTAACCGGATTAATAGACAAAACTGCTCATAGCTATCAGTGTGGAACTGCTGATTGCATTAGTTGCAGACATAATTAAGACACTGTTTATAGAAGCACTGAACTACAGGAGTAATTTTACCTGCACAAGAGCTACAAATTTGTCCATTTTAAAAGGAACATATTTCTTGCACTTCATCTGTTATTCTAATTACCAACCATATGGCTAAAGTTGGAACACAGTTAATGACAGAACTGTGAAGAGATACATTTCTTACTCTGGAATCTGGATGTATAGCTCATTCTTAAGGATAAAGCCAAGTGCTGCTTTCACATCCAGGCATAAGGTCTTTGAAATAACTCTTCAATTGTGATTGCAAGCTTTTGGTTAATATCAGGCCCTGTGAATTATACACAAATGGGATGGGATGCAATGCTTGTGGTAGTCCATGCTATCACACCTTACTCAAAACGGGATATCAAAGTAAGAGTAAACATTCATGCTGTACTCATTAAGAAGTTCCACTGTACAAGAAAAGCTGAGGTCAGTTGTTCACCTCTGCTCCTCAGATAGGAGACACATTATTAACAGTGTGAGCAAAAACACTGTCTTCAGATACTAGGAGAAAGACTGAGTGCATAGCCTGAATTTATTCTTTTATCAAAACAGAAAGAGCTTCAGAGACTTTCTCTTATGCGCAACATGGAGAATAGCACTGGCATCAGTAATCATTAGAAGAGGAGCAAACTACATCTTAAATATTATCTATTTTTTATGTTGGTTGTATATGACGATGAATGGCATTTCACTGAATTACTTTGTTCCTTTTCTATGCCTAAATTTGGACTGTTTTAATGCACTTACATAATTCAATGTACTTTAAAAAAAAACAACAAATCTCTTAACTTACTAAATGTTTAAAGTTACAGACAAGTTAAAAAATACTAATATTAATATATAGATGCCTGAAAAGGCACTTGCAGTGTTGAGTGTACCAGATTTCAATCTATCTCATTGTTCTGCTGATCTATTTCTTTCATCTCTTATTCAACAATACAACAGCCAGCTTTTCTTGTAGATAATAACGAAACATTAAAATCTGAGATATAATGTACATCTACTGCCAAGCACACTATATTAAGAAACAGTACCTTGTATGCTTTTGATTATCGTAGAAAGTGCACCAGTTCACTTATGAATATTTATGTACTATTGAATAGCTGGACCAGGACAGATCAAGATTTTCATTACAATTTTTCCTGCTGCTTTGATACTGCAGCAGAGGATAAGAGGGAGGAGCACTGCTCCTATCAGCTGTACAACACAAACTGGATATTGTGCAAAGCCAGAATAACAAAGGGTTTTTTTCAATAGTCTTGATACCAGCCAACATGAGAAAATCCCACATGAAGGCTGACCACCAGAAAACAAAACCTATTTGTTCAAAATTCCTGCCATAGTATAAACAGTATTAGAGATGGCAGAAAACAATTTGTTACCTTCTCCAAATAAAAGCTAAGAAAGGCAGAGACAGCAGCACTTGAAAGTACTTAAGAACAAACAGATGGCCAATGAAACCAGAACACAAACAAGTGGAAAACACGAGAAGGAATATGTGTCAACAGACCTTGAGGCAGAATACTGGTTAAGATGCAGAAGACATAAAACAAACTTCTATTTGGCATGAGGTGAAAGTAGAAGAAGCAGAAAAACTCAGGGAGCCTCCCAAACTGGGGAGAAAGCCATATTTATAGAGCCTAACCACAGGAACAGGGCAACACTCTGAACGGGAAATTACAAAACTGATCAGAACAAAGTCCTCCTTACCTCAGGATGTGAAAGAGGTCTTCATGGTGCATAAACATTGGTTGTTGGATACATCGATAGAAGTATAAAAACGATCAAAGATGAAGGAGCATTAGGACAAGCAGCCCACTAATCACTTTTGCCTGTGCAAAGCATACAGGTGTTAGCAATTACTCAGTGGCTAAGAAATTCAGCACAGGTGTAGGCAGCTACCCCACACACAGCTTACCACCAGTCAAATAAGTAGCAATTCTAAGGGCAGTCTATTTCCATTTGCTTTTCCTTTTACAAGTATCCTTACAGTTAGATCAATGTAAAACAAAACTGTAAGAAGGTACATATACTTAGGTAAAGAATGAATGAAAAATGAGAAAAAAAAGTAGAAGAGTAGGAGTCTTATTATTATCTGAAAACACTTTCAAAGCTGTCGAAACACATGCTTTTGACCTATAATGTTTGCTGAGAAACACTTCACAGAACAGTACTAGTTCTCAGTAAACAGGCTTTTTATTGCAGTTATACTGTAGGACAACTAGAGAAGAGAATATGGAAAACAACTGGGGGCTCTTAAGGGCACTGCAACTGTTATGTAAAAGGAAAACTGTAAATGGATTTCCTTGCTGCAGTACACTTTTAGTAGCAGAGATGTGTACTAAGGCGGAAAACTATTTGTCTCTGACTGCAAGAGATCTGTATTATTTTTCTCCTCTATGCTAGGGTGGTGACCTTTTGGATACAGCCTTAAAGAAAGTGCTTTCTAGAAATAGACTGCATCAGTCTACAGAAGTCTCAGACTGTGTTACTTATGCTACGGATCTCATAAACAAAAAGGAGAAAACAGTCTGGAAATACCTTAAAATAAATTCACTGGAGGTGTATGCATCCAAATGTAAATGTGCCTCAATATATACAGTATATAAATGTTTTGAACAAATCTCACCATTTCCACATTATTTCTCAACACTTTTGATTTATTTGATCTTGTAATCGCACCTACAAAAAAAAACAACAAAAAACAAAACAAAAAAAAAAACTCGCACAAGAATTTACACAAGGTGCCAAGCAAAAAAACACTGCCCAAATCTTCACCATTACTTTGACTGACACGCACAGAATATGCTTCCTTTGGCTGTATTTATTCTGCTAATAATCTTTATATTACAAGTCCTTGTTAGGCCTTGGCAATGCACGTGGTCTATCTTTAGCTCAAGCTATTATGCCAGCTCTCGGTAGAAAGGGCTCTAAAATCTGGGTCTGTTACTGTAAGTGCACTTCAGTGCACAAATAAAATAGAAACTCATATCTGTATAACCACTGTCTTGAGGTCCCAATGAGCTTCTGAATATCACTGATTAAAACACAAATCTAATACAGTGCAAAAAATAAATATCATCGTAAGTTATAGCCAGGTTACCCAGTGTGCTTCCATCCTGTTACATACAGCAAGTCAGCAGGATGTGGTGAAGTCATTATTTTATGGAAGACCTCTAATACACTGCTTGCATTGCAAACACAGTGCTCAAATACTGAGCATTTCAAGATTTCATTTCTGTCCCTAGTGAAGGTGAACGTGCTTGAACTTTCATAATGGTACCGGCATTTTCTCAGGATATCCTATTCAGAAAGGTCCAATCTAATTTAAACATTTTCCATAACACAACATGATTGAGCAGCACACTGAAAGTGACAATCTTTGGATGAGGAACTGAGCATAAGAATTCCTCTACCTACAGTGCCTGACATGTAATATCCTTTTACCATATCATGACCAAATTCTGTTCCAGTTAATTATGTTTTGATTGCCGAACATCCTCTCTGCTGCTCCCTCATTGTGACTCTGCTCCTCATCTCAAGGTGCTCATCACTGGATTTCTAGCTATTTCTATATTCCAGAATTAGCCACATCAAATACTTAGTTTTGTTTTGGGCTGAATTAGAAGTAAAATTAGGAATTACAGAAATATGAAATATTACTATTCTGTAGTAATTCTACAGGTTTGGAAGTGGAGTGAAAAGGACACATATTATAGCAGCCTACCATAGACAAGCTTCCTCAAGATTAAACAGTACAACAGCAACTGCATTTATCCTGCTAAATGCTGCACCTGCTTCCAAATTAGCCTCAAAGAAGATGTAACATTTTTTTTTTCTTTTTTCCTCCAGGTGGGGTTTAAAAAAAAGAACAACAGGAAAAATATCTTTTATTCTGATGGCTACAACAGCAAAAAAAGGCCCAACAACTCCCATACTGTAAGGTTTGAGCCAACTGATCATGTGCACATGACTTTAACCGCATTGCTTATGGAAGCAGGAAACAGAACTGCTACTACTAAGCAGAGAAGGTGCTTCTCCACGTAACCAGGCAGCTTTGCTTCTCTCACACTGAAGGATTTCAGCATTCTCAAAGTGAAGAGAAATGCAACTCCTTTTGTTTTCTCCTTCCTGCTTTCTTTCCTTTGCTGCCTGTCGCTTTGCTATGTGATCATTTATGATACCAAAAAGCAGAGAAAGAGCTAAATTCTCAAAGCCAACTGCTAAATTTAGTTACTTCTGTTAACGTGGCACATTTGTTCAGAGAGAACAAAGTTTATATGGTGACAGGTAGAAAGAACCGCAGCAAAAAGTAGATAAGCTAAGAAGCAAAGACAGTTCTCCCTCTTGACTTCCCCTCCAAAATCAGCTGCATCTACAAGGAGGAATTGCCAAACCACCACTGTATGAATATCTTTCATCTGCTCTGCAGCACAGGCACACTCCAGCTCTCTCCTGCCAATGAGGAGACCAGAAACAGCATTGCTGCACATGGACAGCAATAGCATCTGTCAGAGGCCACTGCAAAAAGAAAAGCAGCGGCCTCAGCCAGTTCCCCGCAGGGTACAGCCATACTGCTGTTGTTCAAGTAAAATAAGCTTGCCCAGACCAAAGCTGGCTTTAGGATTATAACTGCATATGCAGTCAAAGGAAAGAAATCCCGAGGACCCAAGGAAGCCGCTCCTCCCCTCTGGCAGCCTGCCCAGCGCGGTACCTGCCGCAGCACGGCTGTCCGCCTCTGTGGTACATGTGCTGCTGAAGCAACGTCCCTCCTCACATCGGGCACCTTCAGCTCTCTGCTCCAGAGCGTTTGCCGGGATGGGAAACCACCTTGCAGTCCCTGAGAGTCATAAATGTACTGTGGGGACAAGTTCTTTTGCAGCCTTGTATTTACTGCTTTATTCAGCTTTGTCACCTTCAACTTTTTGGCTCCCAACTAACAGACTTTGAAAATACCTCTATAAAAATCTTAAAGCAAATCACTAAGTTACTCAGCATGTTCCCAGGTACAAAAGTGTTTGGTTATTAAGCGTTGGGTTTCCCCATGCAGGCGCCGGCAGCGAGGCCTCCAGGCGCAACCTGTGGGGAGAGGCCGGGGCACCGGGTGCCCCACAGCAGGCTCTGGATGGTTCCGAATGGTTCCTCAGGGCTCTGCAAAGGCAGTGGTGCCTCTGTGCAAATGTCCGAGAAAAAGCAAACACTGTGAGGGAAGAAGTGTGAAAAACAGATAGGAAGGGGCTCCAGGTACCAGGGAGTGTCCCCTGCAGCCTGTGCAGAGCCCATGGCAGAGCGGGTGTCCCCACTGCAGCCCACGCAGGGCTCCAAGCGGGCACAGGAAGTGTGAGGGGGGAGCAATGGAGAGGAACTGCTGTGGGCTGACTGCAGCTCCTGTGCTGTTCAGGGGTCGACTGGGGAACGAAGGAGAGGCTCTGAGCCTGGGGGAAAAAGGGGGACAGGAGATGAAAATAATGCTGGTCTTTTTATTTAGTTTTTTTAAATCACTGTCTGAATCTCTTGTAGGCAAATAAATTAATTTCACCCAAGCTGATTTGTTTTGTCTGTGACAGCACCTGGCAAATGATGTCCCTGCCTTTACCTTGGCCCACAGAGTTTTTTGTCAGTGAGCAAGAGGGTGGGAGCTGTCAGCTGGCCAACATCAGCCCACCACACAGAATTTGGTTAAAAAAAATCATCACAGGAGTGTAGGACATCTCGTTCAACATTACACAAAGCCTTTTGGGCCAACTTCCAGGTCGTTTAGGCCTTACAGAAGAAAACTATGTGCAGGAGACCCCTCAGGAAATGAAGCAATAGTGTTTGGAATCTACTAGAATGCTGTTTGGGTACGGAGTGACCATTATGGCTGACATTTCTTTTGGACACAAGACCTTAAAGCCTTTTGTTATAAAGAATTTTGTGGCCACGAAAAGGGCACACATGATGGCATTGGCACATCTGGTTTCTGGGATTCACTTCTCTATTGATGTAGTAAGGAGGCATGAAAGCACCAGTGCTCTGAAAACTTACTAATGGCTAAAATAAACCCTGGAAATTATGTGGAAAATATTATTAAAAGGAAGTCATTTAATCATATTACTTAACTTCTTAGCTTAACTTTGGATGTGGAATAGAACCAAAGGGGAATCATTAGTCTATATGCTCATTTGGTATGTTTTCTACTTTCCTGTCCAAGGCCAATGCAGCATGATAGAACTTTTCCTTGAAAAAACACAGGAGTTCATTTTCAATCTTGATAGCTACTAAGACAAACATTTTGAAAATAAGATTGCTCCTAACTGAGGTATTGTTTTAATATACAAGATACATGAATTACCTATTCATCTCAATGGGGAGTTAACTTCAGGAACTAATGCCTTGCTAAGAGTCCAAATGCTTTTAGCACATGTGAGTGTAGGTGTCCATTTCACTTTCCCACAAAAAATGACTGCAACTGGACAGATTATCTTACTAATTACCAGAACTGCCAAGTGAGCAAAAAACATGGAAGTCGCCATCACCGCAGTTATATGCCTGTTCTCTCTCTGCAATATCTCTTTCCCTGTGAAAGGCTGAGCACCTGTGATACAGCTCAGGGGGATACCAAGCTCCAAGGGGTCCAGTTCAACCCTGTGATGATGGCATGCACTGTGGGCTTTTTTCCCTTCACAAATCTAGATGACATTTAGGAGGATGGAATGACAGTCTGAGCCAGTTTCTGCCTCTGCCTACTGACGTGCATTTTCCCCAGGGTCCTGGTTTAACAGGTAGTTCTAACAGAGCTCTCTGTCTTTCCTGACAGTGTTAGAGGCAGCAACCATCCTGTTCCAAACACTGAGGTATCTTTGCAGGGCCACACTAGACTCCAACCTTTGTTATCAG